TTAGTCAGTCATGTCTGACTATTTGTGTAGTTCTTTATAATTTATTTTACACAGTTCTTGCATGTTTGATTTCACTTTATTCTCATGACGGTCTTTTTTTCTTAATCCTACATCATGGATGAGGTGATTGGGTCAAGGGCTCATCTAAGGTCACAGAGCTGGTCCAGGGAGCACATCATTTGTATATTTTATAGATCCTATACTACTTTATTATTGTTGTTATTCCTTCTACTCTCCTTTGGATTAAGTGATTTTTTTCCTACATCATATATTAATATTTGCAGGGCATCACTTCCAGCTAGAGGGGATTCTCTCTATTTAGCACAGAAACTTCTTATAACCAAAAGAGAGAGAGAGACAGAGAGGATAAGCAAGTTAGGGAGAAATTGAGAATGAATATTCTCTAGCCTGCAGAGATGGGTGGTTACAATGATGCTTGCATTTCAGAATTTCTCTTTTCTAAGGTCCTTGACAGTGTATATGCTTCACACAAACACAGTGGTTTTTTAATGATACCTCATTGAAATACCTTAGAATTCACCAGTTAGTTGGAGAACTGCTCACTCATGATAGCTGAGATCTATTTCCCTTAGGTAGCCTCATTCTGTCTTGCCACAGCTGATTGGATCCTGTTGCCTAAGGCAGCCTGTTGAGATCTTTTTGTCTTTTGAAGTTTCAAATGACTCCTGATTTCATCAAGGATTGCCCTTATTTTTTATCTACCAATACCCTTGCTGTTTAGGGTGATTTCTGAGAGGAAAAGGGGAGAGAAAATTCACTATTCAATTAATCAAAAAGCAGAAATCTTTACTCTCCAGTACTCTTTAGCTTTGATAATATACCTGCCAATATGTACACAAAGTTGCAGGCATATTAAGTTGCTTCAGTTGTATCTGACTCTTTGTGACACCATGGACTGTAATCTGCCAGGCTCCTCTGTCTATGGGATTTTCCAGGCAAGAATACTGGAGTGGATTGCCATTTCCTTCTCCAGGGGAATTTTCCAGACTCAAGGATTGAACCCACATCTCCTGAGGCTCCTGCATTGGCAGGTGGATTCTTTATCGTTAGCGCCACCTGGGAAGACTGTACACAAAGTTAGACTTGCTTTAAAGATGAGAAATTTAACCTAGAGTAATGGAAGCAAAAGTAAAAGTAAAAAAGTGGGACCTAAGCAGCTTAAAAGCTTTTGCAGAGCAAAGGAAACCATAAACAAAGTGAAAAGACAATCTATGGAGTGGGAGAAAATAGTTGTAAACAATGAGACTGACAACAGCTTGATTTCCAAAATATATGAAATGTTCTTACAACTCATAAACAAAAACATGTAACTCAATAGAAAATGGGCATAAGTACTAAACAGGCATTTCTTCAAAGAAGACGTACAGATGGCCAACAGCCATGTGAAAAGATGCTCAACATCATTAATGATGTATTTGTCTATATGTGTATGTATCACAAACCTAGATGAATGAATAGGTAAAGAAGATGTATGTATGTGTATATACATGCATCTTCTTTATCTGTTCATCTGCCAGCAGGCATTTAGGTTGCTTTCACATCTTGGCTATTAGTACTGCTGCTATGAACACAGGGATGCATGTATCTTTTTGAATTATAGTTTTGTCTGGGGATACTGGGGATATTCCCAGGAGTGGGATTGCTGGATAATATAGCAACTCTATTTTTAGTTTTTTTGAGTAATCTACATACTGTTCTTCTCTCTGGAATCTCCATACTGTTCTGCAATTCCATACTGTGACTGCACCAATTTGTAATCACAAAAACAATATAAGGAGGTACCTTTTTTTCCATACCCTCTTCAGCATTTATTATTTGTAAACTTCTAAATGATGCCCATTCTGACCAGTGTGAGGTGATACCTCATTATAGTTTTGAAGTGGATTTCCTTAATCATTAATGACTCAAGAAACCCAGTACTCGGTTTTTTGTTCTGCTTGCCTTGAATTTTAACTCTTTTGACATCATCTCTTTTAATCTTCACAACCATGCTGAGCTGGCAGTATTATCCTTTAGATGGAGAACCTCAGGTAGGAGAGCCTAAATGACTTCTTCAAGTCACAGGTTAGAAAGTGTTAGTAATCTTTTACCATTAAGTGAATTAATTGTGTCTTAACTTCTGCTCTGGGCTTCTGTAAAGATAAAATCAAATGATTAACAAAAGAGTCCCCCAGATGTTTTGCTTTCATCCCAGAAATCATGTGGTGTTGCTACTTTCTGTGGACTAAGGGGCCACATCTCTGAGCAGCATGGTAATCACATCCAACACTTAGCTCAGCCTGTTTCCAACCTGCAGTTTGTAGCCATCACTTAGTACCTGTGAGTCACTGTCTTGCCTCACAAATGAGGCAGCTGGTGCAGGGTGAGCTTAAGTGATCTTTCCAGGGTCAGCAGTGGTCCCAGGAGAGAGAGGTGAGACTGGGCTTCTCCCTCCCAGGCTCAGCCCATCCACAAGGCCGCTGCCAACAAGTGTTCAGTCACCTCAACTCCCCTTCATAACCTACTCTTGGAAAAGATGCCTTCTCTAACTCCTGCTGTCAGCCAGAGTGTGGTCTACACCAGGACAACCAATGGGAGAGAGGAAGGTCAAATCAAGGATTTTATACACAGGAAGCTTGTTTTCACTATTTAGTTTCATGTATTTTAGACCATGAAATGAAGATCATTTTGTTTAAAAGTTGCTGCTAATAACACTTTTAAAAGTAAAAAATTATGTTGAGAAGGGCTATAGGGAAAGGAGCCAGTTAAGTTTGGGAGGACTGTCAAGAAGTAGAAAATGAATTTCATTTCCATGTGTTCTTTTGGCTGTTTTTAGTTTCAACAAGAGTCTACATAAATATATAACCATACAAGCATGGCTAGCTTAAAAAAATGGAGGAGGGAGATGATATGCAGTTAGCCCCCAAAAGTCTGACTTTTAAATCTTTGCATTTTGAATCAAAATAGTCTGATTTCACCCAGTAGAGTCCAAGTACTTTTGGGGAATTTTGTTTTTCTCCTTAAGTGGTCCTTTAATATATAGCGTTTCATATGCAGTGCTATTTTGGGGGTAGCAAGTATGCAAGCAACAAGAGGAAAAAAAAGTACACTTAATATGAAGGTAGGGGTCTCAGAACTTTTGTATGCATGTGTGAAGTCCATTGTCTCTCATAACTTTGTTGACAGCATCCACAAATGGACTTGGAGTCATCTTTTATAAAGTAGATCTGGAATCATATGACAAGAGTGAGTCTTGCATAAATGGTACATTTTCTGCTTTAAAGACAAAAGTTTTCACATTCTCTTTTGGGGAATAAATTACTTTTGAAGTCTTTTCTTCACCCAGACACTTTTAGAGATAAGAACTCTCAAATCTTGACGTTATTTTATTTTGTTTTGTGCATCTGTCAAGGAACTGAGATACAGTACAGCTACTAAAAAGTGATTGTGGAACAGTGAAACTTGACAGCATTTCATTTCCTTTGTGTTCTGATTACACATGCATCAGAAAGCCTGTATCTCTTCCATTTCAGCTAGAAATTGGTAGAATTCAAAAAATCAAGCTGGCAAAGAACTGTCCTATTTTGGGTATCATCTTACACTTTATAGAAGTTGCTTGGTTGAGTCATTGTTAAAAAGCTTTAGATTCTCCTTTCATTCTTGGGACCAACTATTCACAGATCACATTTCTAAAGGCCCTCTAATGGCTTTGCCGCACAATTGAATGCCAGGATATTTCATATATGTGTGTGTGTGTGTGTGTGTGTGTGTGTGTATGTGTGTGTGTGTGTGTGTGTGTATATATATATATATATTCAGAGAAGGAGTGGCACCCCACTCCAGTACTCTTGCCTGGAAAATCGCATGGATGGTGGAGCCTGGTAGGCTGCGCTCCATGGGGTTGCTAAGAGTCGGACATGACTGAGCGACTTCACTTTCACTTTTCACTTTCACACATTGGAGAAGGAAATGGCAACCCACTCCAGTGTACTTGCCTGGAGAATCCCAGGGACGGAGGAGCCTGGTGGGCTGCCATCTATGGGGTCGCACAGAGTCGGACACGACTGAAGTGACTTAGCAGCAGCATGCCAAAATTTCAATGCTTGTCAATCAAAGTTTATAAAATACAGGGATTACAACTGAATATTCAGTTCAGTTCAGTTCAGTCACTCAGTTGTGTCCAACTCTCTGCGACCCCTTGAACCGCAGCACGCCAGGCCTCCCTGTCCATCACCAACTCCCAGAGTCCACCCAAACTCATGTCCATCGAGTCAGTGATGCCATCCAACCATCTCATCCTCTGTCGTCCCCTTCTCCTCCTGCCTTCAATCTTTCCCAGCATCAGGGTCTTTTCAAATGAGTCAGCTCTTCGCATCAGGTGGCCAAAGTATTGAAGTTTAAGCTTCAACATCAGTCCTTCCAATGAACACTCAGGACTGATCTCCTTTGGGATGGATTGGTTTGATCTCCTTGCAATCCAAGGGACTCTCAAGAGTCTTCTTCAACACCACAGTTCAAAAGCATCAATTCTTAGGTGCTCAGCTTTCTTTATAACTGCATATTAACATATAGATTTATTGTGCTAATTTTATGTGTGAAATTGAGAAACACTTGTGCAGACGCTGGGTTTCCTTAGCTTCTTTGTTACCCTATTTTAATTTATCTCCAGGTTTTGAGTCAGTAACATGATTTTGCTTTTTAATTTACTACAGTAGCAAAGCATATCTGTGAATTAGAATGATCAGAACTCTAGTGAATCTACAGGTTGTTTGGCATTAAGCCCAGCCCCACTGAGGATTCCAATGGGATTACTTCCTCCATAGAATAAGCACATCCCTACATTTTTAAATTGTGCCTCCAGTAGTTATGTGATTGTCTAATATGAAGATATGGACATCTTCCACATGTATTCCAAATGTGTTGCCTTAGAAAGGAGGACTTTAAAATGCTTTAAACAGTTTTTAAAAAAAAAATTTTAATTTGTCCTTTTTCCCCTTCAGGTGCACACCGAAAAGAAATAACCAGATGTTACTCACAGTGGTCATATGGTTATGAACGCTTCCAATGGACAGCCCTCAGCCTTAATGATTGTTGAGTCAGCACTGTGATTCTACCATAATGTCAAGTCCAATCCAAAGGTGTTTTTCCAATAGTTTTTGCACTGCAAAAAGTATATTATACTTTTTTCTACACCAGTCCCAAATATTTACATATAGATGTTAATTTGGATTTATTTTCTCCAGTTTTACCCAATGATTTCAACCTCTAACAAAATGATTTACTATTTTTATTTATATTTTATACTAATTTTTCCTATCCAAATCAGAGGTGAAGGCCACAAGTAAAAGCTATCTACCAGGTTTAGTGTCTTGAGAGACTCCAGAACCAAAAGTAATTTTATAAGATATAAAAAAATGTTGTCACAGATGTCTTTTACTGTTCCTAAAATTATATATTACTTTCCAATTTTATCAGGAGTTTTGTTTACTTGAAGACCATGTGAAGTCACCATTTGTTTTACCACTTTCTTTAACAGTGCTGGGATCCATTATTACACACAAATATCTCTGATTAAAATAGTACAGAGAAAAAACAAAAAAATATACTTTAGTTTATGTGAGATAGGAGAGAGAGGTATCCTCTGCCCAAATTTAAGATATACGGTTTAAAATACATAAAGATAATATTTAATTATATGTTCTAAAACACAAGGAAGAGAAAATATGCTTCCTCAAAATAGGAGCCCTTCTAGGTGATCACTGTCTTCTAGATGGAGAATTGTATTGTATTCTATATTTTACACTTTTTAAATTTATAACATAAAATTTTCTATGATAACCTTTTTCACATACAATTCAGTGGCATTAGCCACATTCACAGTGTCATGAAACCATCACCATCCAGTTCATTTTTAGTGATTATTTTAGACCATTCAGCTTATTATTTATACAGTCAGTTTTGGTAATTTCATTTCTCTATGAATTAATCTATTTCATGTGAGTTTTCAGCTTGATTGGCTTAAATTATTCATAAAATCTTGTATGTTTAATATCTACAGGAGCTATAATTGGGTTCTATTTCAGTTTTTAATTTTCTTTGAGCCTTGTTTTTTTCTTGAATAATCTTGTTTGATTTTTTCCTATTAATTTTCAAAGAATCAAATTCTATGCTTGATTGATCCTTTCTGATTTTTTGTTTTCTAGCTCATCATATTCTTCCATTCCTTCAGCTTTTCTTCATTTGAGTTTTTTCTCTTAATTCTTATATTGGAAATAGATTAATTTTTAAGCTTTTTTTCCCCTAATGCAAGTACATAATACTTACTTTTTTATTCCACCTAACGGCCCACTTTAGCTGCAGCCTACAAGTTTTGGTACTGAGCACTGATCAATAATCAGCGTGTTATGTATTTTCCAATTTTTAATTTGATTTGTTAATTATATATTTCACTCATGAGTTATTCATCAGTGTAATGTTCTCTAAACTCCAAATGGTCACAGCTATTTTTCTATTATATTAGCCATGTAAAATTGCTAACAGTCAACCTTTTTTTAGCCCATAAAAATAACAGTTTCTTATGGTTCAATGTAATAGTTTTCTTTTGATATTAATATATAACAATTTCATTTTGGTCAGAGAATATTAGAGTGAGGATTTTAAAGCAAAGGTTTAAAATATTGACACACAAAGTCTTTCTTTCCACCATTTTAATTTTCTACCTATTATCTATTTCTATTTATTTCTATTTTATTTTCTATTTCTATTTTAAAATGTTATGTGTATAACCAGAAATTTTCAAATAAAAATCCTTCCCAAATTCTGGAATGTTTTCAATGTATGTTACTGGTTGGTTCTTTGGGATATGAACTCAGATGGAGTTTAGTGTTGGGATGTTTGTTAGGGGTGCCATTGGGATTGGCACTCATGGAATTAAGAGTGAAGAAACTGGAGCGAGCAGAGGGAAAAAACCAAGCTGGACCATGGGCCAGATGACCTTAGCTGACCCTACGAGGGATCTGGAGTGAAGATGGCCCTTCAGGGTTGTCCTGACAGGTCCACTGGCCAGGCCTTTATTCCTCCACCTGGATGGGTCATTGCACACAGGCTGCCCCCCAGAAGCTCTGAAGGCTGAAGATTGCCCACTGGAAGCACTTCCAGCAACTAGGGGAAGAGTCCTTGAAGGGAGGTCAGGACAGCACATCTCCAGGTCCTCACACCGTGTGTCACGGCTCCAGAGGTAGGTGATGAGTATGAACTCTGGGGGAAATTCTTGGTGACTGATGTGTAAGTCAGAATGATGACTTGGTGATTCTCCTCAGTGCCCTGTGGTGTGAAAAAGAGCAGGAGCCCCATGTAGGGGAGATAGTCTCATTCTCTAGGATCACACCAGTTGTTATTTCTTCTAGAAAGATCAGTCCTCATCCTAGGTAACTCATATTTCTCTAATATCCTGTCATAGGTGCCCTCTTCCTTGGTAAATCACGAGCTTCTCAAGACTTGGAACTGGATCCTACTCACTTTTTAGTTACATCCTCCAGCACAGTGTCTGTCGCATAAGAGCTGCTCAGTAAATGTTTTCTGAATGAATGATGACAAAGAACAAACCTTCCTTCTAAACATTATAATTCTGAAATGTTAAGAGGTTGCCTGGGATAACACAAAGCCCCGCTTTTGGAGTCAGTCATACTAATCTGCATACCAGTTCTTTCTCTGCCACACGCTAGAAATGTGAGTGCCCAAAGAATGTACTGTCCAGAGCGGGACACTTGAGAGTGAAAGGAAAGATGCCAGAACAATACACTGGTATAATCCTTGACAAAATGGGCTATGGTCACCTTAGTTACTTGCCTTGTGTCTCAACCTCTGAATCTTAGCTTCTTCATCTGGAAAATGAATATAATTCCTGCCCTTGAACCATTGCTTTGGATGATGGATGGTGGTTGGGTTGATGGATTGACTAAGAGCACCCAAAGACACAGGGTGGAATCATTGACCTTGGTGATTCTTAAACACCAGGAGAGGAGAGCAGGAAAGGTGTGGATAAAGGTAGGTTGGCCATCTTACCTGAAGAGCTGATGCATTAGAAAAGACCCTGATGCTGGGAAAGGCTGAAGGCAGGAGAAGGGGATGACAGATGAGGAGATGGTTGTATGGCCTTACCAACTCAATAGACATGAGTTTGAGTAAACTCCAGGAGATGGTGAAGAACAGGGAATCCTGTAGTTCTTCAGTCCATGGGGTTGCAAAGAGTTGGACACAACTGAGCAACTGAACAATAGCAACAGCAAAGGTAGGTTGGAGACTGTAGAAGGTGTATTTAGAAGGTTCTCACCAATGGCCTAAACTGTTCTTCCTTCACATGTAGTTAAAATGACATAAGCACAGAGGGAGGAGCACAAGCTCTGGAAGAAACAAGATTAAGACTTTGATACACTTAGAATGTTTTACAGAAAGCTTACATTGGACAATTCTAACTAAAATCACTCTTTCCCTCAGCAACCATGCTCATAAACCAACTCACAATTATCCACACCAATAGGTAGAATTTCAGGTATTCCAAAACACTGCTTGATCCAAAAGCTAGTCATATTTAATTTTGGAGGACACTACATGAAAAACATTTTTAAAATTAAATTTTGAAGGCTAGATTAAAAAAAAAAAAGACTCTGTGAAACAGATTTTATATCTTAGCTTCCACCTATTGAGGTAGATAATTATGAGCATGGTTGCTTATCTCAGTTAAATCAGAATCTTGGGGAAGTGGAGGCAGGAGTCAACACTTTTTAAGACCCACAGATGATACCACCCTGCAGCCAAGTGAGAACCACTCTTGAAGGCAAAAGAGCTCATTTCTTCATAAGTTGCAGCTTCTTTCATTGCTAGAGGCCTCCTCCAAGAAGCCCTCCTAACTACTTACATATTTTTTTCTTCCATCTGTCCATAGGTCTATCTGTAGCTGGGGTCAGCACTTTAAATATTTGATCCTGCGAACAGGTCACCTGGGGACACTGTTAACCTGCAGATTCAGACTCAGGAGGTCCATGTGGACCTAGGGTCTGCATCACTAGGATGCTCCCAGGTGCTCCCCCTGCTGGTGGGGGTCGCACGTGCGGGGTCTACAGGAGAGCATCTGTCTGTGCCGGCTTCTTTGCGATTGTTCTGGGGCAGTTCAGGTTCCTTTTCTGCCTTTCCTGCACAAAGGGGAGAGCAGCTGGTACCCAGCTTTTTCTTGTCCTGGCTCTCATCCCACTCAGTCCCCACCACACTACCCATGGTGTGGACACAGACCTGTACATGTGGAAAGCTCCCAATGACTGTTGAATGAGTAAATGAGCAAATGTGCTAAGAATCTCTATAGTGTTGTTAACATACATGAAGGCCTTAGGAATGTCACATCCATTCAGGGCTCTCCAGAGTTCCGTCTCAGAAGTGAAATCTTTCTTCAGCTAACTTCCCAGCTGTTTAAAAGCTTATCTCTTGATATTCGAGTGGCTTCACTCAAGACAAAGCAGGAGGGTGAGGTTGGAAAAGGCAAGAGGGTCCTGATGTGTTGATTGGTTTCTTCTCTCAGCTTTTAAACTAGGCTATGGGCATGTAAAAGGCAGTGAAGGCAAACATCACAGCATTTTCACCCAAACCAGGTCCCTTAACAACTGTGACAGGGAGGAAAAGTTATCTTTCTCAGCCGTGACCTCTATGTGGCAGCGCCTCCCGCCACTCCAGGCCTTTGGTAAGTTCCTACCTCTCCTCAAAATAATTTTTAATTTCTGACTCCAGTTCTTGGGCAGAAAATTATCTCATTAGGTTATTATATAATAATGATGAAAGAGAAGGAGTGGTATCAAGATAAAATCTCTTTATCCAAGTATTTCAAAGGGAAGAAATGAATCATTCCAGAAACTGCTGTCATGTAAAATTTCAAAGTGCAGTATTAAACTGATGGTTTGTAATGATTTAGAAAAGGAAGCAGTGGTCACTGAGACAACCTCTTGGATTCTTAAGTAAAGAAATGTAATGCTGAATTAAATGCATACACTTACAATGACTGAGGGAACAGAGGAAAACTTTAGTGAAATCCTAATTTTAGCAGGCATCTAATTTAAGATTTTAGCAGGCATTGGACAAAGTTTCTCAAGATGCTCTTGAGACATAGTACTGAACATGAACATACACACACACACACACACACATATATATATAGACAAATATATATATACATATATATATTAATGTTAAGGTGATTATTAAATGGAAATGGTACTGTGTTTATCTTTCTCAAGTCTTTATCTCTTAGAGGTGTGTGCTGGAGTATCTATGGGTGAAATTGTATGTATTTAGGAGTTGTGTTAAATGCTGGAAGCACCCCAGCTTAATGAACCAAGATGTACAACATGTTAATAATTGAGCAGATCACCCACCAATTATCTAGTCCTAGATGTCAGTAGGGCTGAGGTTGAGAAAGCCTGCTTCCAGTCTCCCTGCAGCACCTTAAATACATAACTATGCTTAAAACCAGTCTCTAAGTCTCAAGTCTAAATCATTCTGTTGAACAAGGACCTATGGTATAGCACAGGAAACTCTTCTCAATATTATGTGGCAGCCTGGATGGGAGAGGAATTTGGAGGAGAATGGATACCTGTATATGTATGGCTAATTCCCTTTGCCGTGCACCTCAACTATCACAACATTGTTGATTGGCTATACTCATATATAGAATAAAAAGTAAGATAAATCACTCACTTGAGTTATAGGGTTGTTTCTTGGGGCTCCAGTCAGAATCGTGGGTGTGACTGAAGGAGAAAATACTCAGCGTTGTTGGCTTCTGGCTCTAGTGTGAGCCTGGTTCTCCCAGAGAATGGATTTCCTTCAAGAATCCCACTCTGAGAGGTAAGGTCTTTGACCTGATAGAACAAGAAGGCCTACAAACCTCACCTGGGTGGGGTGGAGGGTGGGAGGGACAATGAATTTCCCAGGCTAAATATCACTTTTCAAAGTAGTGATGCAGATCACACTAGTATTTAAGAATCAAATAGTTTCCTTGGCTAGTCCAGTGTTTCTCCCTTATCTAGGTCTCCAGGAGAATCATACTCCATTATTGGGCATAAGCGGGTTTGACTTCTTCCTGTTCTGTTACCTAGACTCCCGAGTCAGACTCCAGCAAGGATCCTTCTGCCAGGTGTCCCTTGCACCCATAGAAGGAGAAATTTGATTCAGAACGATAGGGGAACTTTATGCCCATTAAAGCATGAGAGGTAGGAGCTTGTGGTCTAGAGCACATGCTCTCCCCAACAACAGCAGGGCTGTTTATATGATCTATATGGTATAAATATAAATTTATATGATTTATATGACAGCAGGGCTGTCATCTGGGAGGGAGTGAGGTTCTTATGGGAGGGCTCAACTTTGCTGCTTGAAGCTCCTCATCACAGTGCTGGGTGCAGTGTCTCTGCACACAGCCCTCCAAGCTGAGGTGTGGCCATTTTGCACCAGGGACTCTGGTCTGAAGGACTGGGTGCCAGGCTTCTGCACAACATGCACTGTGAGCAAGTGAAACTCAGCTCAGCACAAAGGAAAAAAAAGGTTAGACTTTATGAGCAGATTTCATGTTTCCTCCCCGGGAACTGTTGATGGGCTTTGTGCGTGACATGCCCCTCCCCTGTCCCTGTCCTGCTCCTCATCCTGAGGGTGCTGAAGGCATAGGCCCAGCTCCTGGAGTGGTTTCCTGCCTAGTGTGGGGTCTCAGGCCTTGGGAGGGGTGCAATTT